CCTCTAGATTGGTGCACTTGTTATACCAGGGTTAATTTTAGGGGCCTCAGGGCTCTGTTAAATGTAAAGGGTTGAACTATAAGAGCTATTTACTCTAAAATGGGTTAATACTCAAATGATAATAACAGTCACCAAACAACTAATTAACCTACTCTGACTTTGATCTCATCTTGGGGAGGAGAGAGGTTGGAGTAGAGACTGAGCACGCCATGGCCACCGTCACCTTCATCTGTGTCCCGTGCTGAGGAAAATAATCTAACAAGAAGGGCAGGATTCCTTGAAAATCCGATCCCTCGGGAATACAGCAGGACTATAGATCTGCTCACAGTTGGGAAAAGCTGCCAGAAGCTGTAAACGTGTAGATCCATTCCAAACGATTCTCATGTTTCCTAATTTTTCTCGTAATCTAGGGCGTGTTGGGTGCCCCGAGCGTAATATATTGACGATTTGTCATCTAGCATAAATGTTACGCTTTGGGAGAGAGAACGTGTTGACCAATAATGTCTCTGCCAAGTGCTTAGGCTCCACCCGCCTCTTCTCTCACTGACATCCAATAACGTTTCTTAAGTAAAGTCATGTGATGTGCAGCCAGACCCCGTCATTCTTTTCCCCACATACTTGATTTTAAAACGGAGTTTAAACGTTGCCATCCCTATGAAAGGTCAAAGTTGAATCACGTCTCCAGACACAAAATCCAGACATCTATGATGTTAGAGGAGCATGAGCGCAGACTCAGAGCCACGTCCCCCAGCTCGTCCCGCGTTGCTGCAGGGGGTCTTAGCAGAGTCCCTGGGTGGTGGCATTTCCCCGACCTTGTCCTCCATCGCTGGTCTTCGATGCTGCTGCACGTCCGCTCCATCTCCTTGGAAACAGGAATTCGTGGCCCAATAATACACCTGGTCTGTCCGTCTCCTGCATGCTGTGGTTTCAGGTGCAGTCAGGGCACCTGCAGCAGTTAGTCCAGATCACCCTGCCATTCAACCACGACTCAGAGAAAGCAGCTGCTGCGTCATCCCTCCAACAAAAGATGCTCCAGAGTGATATATGTGGCAGTCAGGACACCTGGTAGCGAGAGGCTTCATACCACACGGTGTGCAGCGCGCCTCCAAGCATGGTCATCAGGGTTGATCTTTCTCTCTTTCTGTCTGTTACGAAGGTCACTTCCTCTGCCCCGCCTCCATCTGTGCCCCTCATCAGAGAGGCTCCTCCCTTTTTTCATTACTGATGCTAATCTATGGCAACATAATCGTTCTCATTCGGATGAACCACACGCCTCTGCAGTTTTATCGGTGCTTCGAGTTTTCACCCATCCTGTCACGTTCAGCTCACATCTTTCTCTGATGCTAATAGTTTCACATTTTCATCATCCTGACGAGTTTAGATGAGTTTTAAGCTCCGACCCTGTTTGACACATTTGTCTTTAGTTCCTCTGTCTGTCCGTAACTATTCACAGACGATATAAAGACTTGATGAAAGAATCAGGGTGTGTGGGGCTAACAGGAGGCTCTGAGTGACTGTGGGACTGATCGAAGGAGAACAAACATCTTTTATTTGTTTGTTTGACTATAACTATTAAATATTGCATAATTGGGTTTCATTGTTGAGTTACCGCTTTAACGTGATTCTGTCTCCCTTCCTGTTCTGTTTGTAGTGTGAATTGTGGAAAGTTTGTCCACCCTGAGAAACCTGTAGAGGCTGTCACCAGGTAATGAGCCCTCATGTCAGTGACGAGCTGCTTTGGCTTCAGCTTCTCTTCCAGCCTTGTTGCTTTAAAACCTTTTGCTGCTACTTCAGAGCACGTTTAAACGCTCAATAACAGCTCAGGCTCTGCTCAGCACGTTCCTGCTGTACAGTAAACTGTGCGTCTAAATCACAGCAAATAACTTTATTTCACAGGAGCAAAATTCAATAGTTAATGTGTCATTTTTGTTGTAATAAACTGAATTTCTTTACTTTGATGCTAGCTTATGTTTGTTAGTGTTAACATTAACGCTAACGCTAGCTGACTAAACTGTAACTAAATACATCCTAAACTCTTAACATGATGGATTCTTTGTGAAGCACTGTTGTTCGGGAGAACCTTCTTCATGGGTTATTTCGTGGTTTGTGTGATGGACCGAGGTGAAAAGCAGGAGGAGTCCCATAAATATTAAACGAGGGTTTTCCTTTATTTAACCCAAAGAGTGATGTTTACAAAAAGGATAAACGTCGAGCACTCAGGACTGAACTCAGGCAAAATGTGGACTCGACAAACCAACAAGGGCTTATATATAATCAGACCACTATGACTCAACACAACCAGTACAATCCAGTTTGTTAGTCAACTAAACACCAAAGAAGAAAATCAAAAAACACTCGACTCTGAATTCAAATATTGAGTTTAAATAAAGAAAATGCCCCCCCGCAGGAAGTGGTGGAGGCCTGTGGTGGGATCATGGCAGGTAAAAGAAACGAGGATTAGTCCCAGTCACAAACCAGTCACCCCGTGGCTCCGGCTGCTACGAGCAGCTCCTCCTGCACAACTGTCTTATGTTGCATCCTTTATTACAATCTGCACATCATAAATCTTGTAAGTATTTGTAGGTTACGTATCTCTGTTTGCAAGATGCAGACCTTTCATTGGTCAAAGCTTTGTAACTTTGTGAGAAATAAGCATTAACACATTTATAAGTATCTCATTTCATAATCTGTATTTAAATACAGTGTTCATCATTTACTTTGACCTTTTAAATGTTAACAGGTCCTAATAACTTTTACTTGATGGGATACTTTTAGAAATGGTTAAAAATTACATAAAAATATAAAATATTAAAAAAAGATTTTGATATAATATATAGATAATATTTATATTATATAAATACATTTAAAAATTATAATGACAGACTAACAATTTTGTCATTAAACATGTTATATGTGGGCTTATAATCAAGACTAAAGCATTTATATTCATGTTTATAAATATGTACTAACATTGACTAATGCTTAATACTGTGTAGTTATTATAAGTCACTTCATCTTTGCACAGTGTGCACATCCTTCACAGTGTGCCACACTTCTGTGCTGGGTAATTGGCTGTAGCTCTGACTCTCAGACATTCGTACCTTCGTCCTAACAAAGAAACAGCATAAAGTTTTGGATTTACAAGGAAAAAAGATTAAAAAAGATAAAAATATGAGGATTTGTCAAACGTGCCCATAAGAGCCTTTAAAAAATCCTTCATACAAACAAATTGCCGGGCAAACTGGAGCAGGACAGGTCGCGTTAAAACCAGAGTCAGCAGACGTGCAGCAGAAGATAACAGGTTGTCAAAGCAGCCAATGAGAACGCACAAAGCTCTGCGACCTTCTTCCCAACAACACAGCAGTTAATTGTTCTCCTTTGGTCTTTAAATTTAGGGCAATCTAACTGGTTAAAGTCAACTATGCTGACAAAGTAATGTCTTTACATGTATGTTGACTGGCTCTTTGCACGGCTCTCAGGAAGCCTGAAGAGTCACGCACACCGATGCGTGTCTGGCTTTGTTTTTCTCTCCAGCTTTCTTTACATCCTCTGAGAAATCTTTCCTCCTGTTTCTGCCTCATGCAGATGTTAACGTTGTGCTAACACACACATTCATATTTGTTATGGTTTGTGTCTCCTACAGCTTTGAAATAATGCTGTATAATATTTAATAATTGTAAAACTCAGTGATTGTGTGGATTGTGAGTCTGTGGAAACGCACACGCTCTTGTTGCTGAAGGAAACTCAGTTTGTGATACAGTGAACCTGCTCCTGTTACCTGCCTGTTATACGTGGTGCAGTTTTCTACTGATCAGCCACAACATTGTCTGTTGTTTGTTTGGTAACTACCACGTTATAAAAGCTTCAGATTAAGGAGCTTCATCCTCCTTAACATTCCTGCAAATTCACCCTGTGTTGGCTCGT